GTGCACGTGTGTCAAACTTGTGCAAGGGAGTAAGATTGGTAGCATAACATAAACACCCAAAAACCCGGAGATGAGAATATTCGGGTGATGTGCCATGCAAGAGTTCATAGGGAGATTTATATGAAAGTAAGGGTGTAGGAAGACGATTTATTAGATAAAAAGTGGTTTGTATGCTTTCCCCTCAAAACTTTAAAGGTAAATTGGCCTGAAAGCGTAATGCACGGCCAACATTCAAAAGATGCCGATGTTTGCACTTAACCACCCTGTTTTGTTGAGAAGTGTGAGCACAAGTATGTTGAAAAATGGTGCCATGAGCATCTAAAAATGCACGCATCGATACAAATTCACCCCCATTGTCGGCACGTAGAGCTGTAATTTCACGATTAAATTGTGTTTTGACCCAAGGAAAAAAAATGATTTCAACAATGCTTGTGTATCGGATTTAAAACGCATGAGATGAACCTATGTGAAGCGAGTAAAATCATCTACAATAGTTAGGAAATAACGTGCTCCGATGTGTGTATGAATTTTGTGTGGTCCCCAAATATAACAATGAATCAAATCAAGAGGTGCAACCGATTTTATGGAATTTGAAACAAAAGATAAGCGAGTTTGCTTTGCTAAAGGACAAACCTCACAAACATGCATAATTAGAATCAAATATGATTTCTGGGATGGTTTGGGATAAAGAGTGAAGAGGGGCTGATGATGGGTGTCCAAGACATTGGTGCCAAAGTCCTGAGGTGCGGTTAATATGATTAACTAGGTGAGGATTTTGGCTTGGTGTGAGGTAGTAAGGCCCATTAAAATGCTTGCCCAAGCTAATTGTCCTCTTCATATCCATGTCCTGCACAACACAAAAATCCGGATAACATATCACGATACATTTCAACCCCCGAGTTAATTTGCTCATAGACAATAAGTTCACACAAAATTTTGGCACATGTAAAACTCCATCAAGAAATATCTCTGATGACAATTTAATAGACCCAAAGCTTTCAATTGCAGCTTGTCCTCCATTTTGTAAACCAACAAAATCATGTTGTGTTGTAGTTTTATTATGACTGGGTGATAGATGAGAAATGTGATCGGTTGCCCCGCTATCCACAATCCAATATAATGTTGAATGCGGATCATGTTGTATCTGGGAGTTTAGACAAAACCGATGAATTGCCGGCAACATTGGCTTAAAGAGCAGTTGGCTGCCCAGTCCTCTTGTTGTTCATAATGGAGATGATTTGTTGATATTGGGTATCAGAAAGTGATCTACACCAAGTAGAACGATTGTCTCCATCGGAGACGAGAACGTGAATAAAAAATGGACTGGAGGCTTTTGGCTTGTCTCCATCCGGGCTTTGGTCGTACCCATGGCTGGAATCAACCACACAATAAATTTTCTGATTAATTCTGCTCTGATACCATATTAAATTTTCTGATTTGAATTGTAATACATTTCATTGCATAGAAAGCCTTACCATAAGGCTTTCTAATACACAATACAAAGAAAGCTTTACACCCTTGTAACTAGATGCAACAGCACACATGCAGCAATAATACAAAGTAAATGACCTCCCTGCTGTCCAGGAGTCAGCAATCACATGCAACATTCCTTTCCAGAGTGCACACCCTTGCTGTCTTTCCTTTATGGCAATGATGACTATAGTTGTAATGATGGCAGGTTACACTTTAACAGGTGCAGCCATGTTTGCTCCAATGGTGAATCCGTACGATTCAATCATGAACAGGGAAGAGAGACGCATGACCTGGGGGAAGTGGACGCAAAGCAGAATTTTTTTGTAATTTTTGGCAAGGAGGTTTCCTAGATTTCTTTCTTACTTCTATCACAGAAGCTTCTTGTCTGGAAAGCACGGACAAATCGATAAATGGCTGTCATTGTCACTGGGAAAGAGGGTAAGGATCATTATCAACATTTTGTTTACAGATTGAAATATTTACAAATCTTACAACTAAATTTTGATTATTACAACAAATGCATATGTTCCTTGTATAAGCTGGAGACTGATCCGGTCTTGGAGGTCTTCTCTTCTAACAATGCAGAAAGTGTTTCATGGTTCATCCCTCACTTGTCACGGTTTCCATATCATTCGGCTCCCATTTGTTTGTGTTAAATGATTACCACAATGACTATTGTTTTACCTGTATGAGTTTTCATTTTGTTCTCCAGGATAAAGCTCTGATGGAGGACCCAATCTACGAAGAATTCTGGCAAAGGGATGCAGAAGAATCAATTAGGCAGAGAATTTCGAAACCCTTCGTGGAGGAAGCTGTTTTGCAAGTGTCAAATTGGGGTTTCAGCCTTGCAGACCTCAAATTGCAGAAGAAAGAACAAGGGAAAGGCGTGCTCAATTGGATTAAGTCCATGCTCAGCTCAGCTCAGGAAGAATACATTGGCTTCTTTGGCCCAATACACATATGGCAGGTCAGAAGCATCTCCATCGTTTACATGTTTGTTTGAGCTATCGATACTTTTACTGCTGAGATACTTGGAATCTTTTGATAGAAGACGAGGTAATATGTTGAGTAGACTCGTCGATAACAATGAGATCAGTCATTTGACAGGATTGTTCTAATTGAGTTGCTCTTCCTCATGCTAACATAAGAAAGGTTTGAATTACTACTTGTCCTAAGTTCGTCGAGGGAAGATTTCTGCTACGAGAATGTGAAATTCGTCTCAGGTTCAGAAAGTAATGTATGGCGTAACATACTCGTAGACAGATTTCTGTTGATAGTTGTTTCCTTGTAACCACAACGAATCTCTCGCCTTATAATGGCTTCATTCAAACTATACAGAGCGTTTAGTATTTTTCATCGGAGGTATTAATTTCCTGTTGAATTTTGTATTAATCCAGACCATTCTCCTCCAATGTTTGACAGGGGATGGACGATAAGGTGGTCCCACCATCGATGATTGATTTCGTTCACTGGATTTTACAAGGAGCTGAGGTAGATAATGTTGGAGAACAATTTAGAAACAATAAAATAACAAAAATACAGAACCGAAATACTTATACCTTATTATTCAAAAATACATGTAATACAGAATGCAATTATGTTATAGTAACAAAAAATTAAAATGATACTAACTTGAATGAATTGAAGGTAGAGGCTAGCGCAAACGCTATGTCCTTCGAACAGTATTTCCGTCCCACTCTAGTGAATTGCTTTGTGTGTTTACTCTCTGAAAATTTTGTACGGAAGACAAGGGGGAAGAAAAAGATGATTTTTGATGGAACTGAGGACTCCAGTTATATAGGCTCTTTCATACCTCTTCAAACACCTTTTGGATGTATCTGAAGCTATACAACTCTTTCCAAAGAGATACAACTATTTCCAAAGAGTTATGTCTATTAATCAAAACGTTTTTAATTAATTTAATTAAAAACTTAATTAATATTATAGTATAATCATATTAATATTAATATTATAGTATAATCATCAAGCCTAATCCACACAACCATAAGACTCAAGCCTTCAATCCATTTCCAAATGGTCCAAGTTCTAATTATTAAGAAAAAGGAATAAGTCTATATAAAGGCTAGTGAAAAAATATTGTTGACCAATATGAGACAAGAGGGTCTCAAACTCCTACAGATAAGCTTCCATACGAGGGCCATTTCACCTACATCTACTTTTGTGACGAATGCCATACACAGATATTCACTACACTCTTTGGAACACCACAAGGGCCGCTGAACTTCACAGCAGAAGTGGATGAAACACCTCTTGAAGGTAATACTGAAGAGCAGGACGAAGAGGTGACGCTTGGTGATTCTGTTCCGGCACTACCCGAGGCATGATTGCTCTAGTTTACTTCAGAGAGGTACAATGTATATATCATAGGGTTACTACGTTACTCGTAGAGCTGAAAAAAAAACAGAAAGGATAAAGAGAAAAGAAAGAAAAGTTAAAAGCATCGTGTTAATTCTCTTGCTCAGAGTTTTGGGATGTTAATAGGGGGTTTCCAGCGGAGTATGTCTTTGGGAGGAACTGTTGGTCAAGAACAAAAATATACAAAGAAATCATTTCGTTCTGAATTTCAATCGGGTGCTCAAATTTTCGTTCATTTAGTGCCTCCAAATGATTGATTGTCTTCTTCTTCTATCATTTCTCCCACCCGCTCTCACTTCTTGAGCTAACCCTAACCTCTCGGGTAATGCACGAATCCTATCGTTATTTCCTGATTAATATGTATGCTGCTTGTGGCTTGTTAGCGCTTGCTCTCAATGTGTTCAATGAAATCCCGCAGGGGAATTCTGTCACTTGGAATGTCATGATACATGGTTTGGCAAATGGGGGGAGCTTAAATTGGCTTTGTCTCTGTTTGATCAGATGCCGAAGCCTACTGTTGTGTCCTGTACTGCTATTATTGATGCGTACTCGCGCATGAATCAGCCCCAGAAGGCTGTTGCTTTGTTTCCTAAAATGGTTTTTGAAGATCTTATTGAACCTACTCGGATTACACTTCTAGCCATGTTTCCGGCTGTTTCGGTTCTTGGGGCTCGTAAGATTTGCCAATCTCTTCTTCTCCAACAGATTTCATCATCTTAAAAGAGTAACATAAAAGTTGCTCTATCGCTTGATATATTCAATTAATAACACATATCATATGTCACTAGGCGATGCATGAATGAATGGCTACCTGAACTGGACTCAGCAGTGGAACAACTCCCTACTCCAATGTAGCATTCAAGGGAAGGAATCACCGAAACTAGTCAAAACTGAAGAGATGCGGAATCGATTTCATCACGGTCTTTCTATAAAGGCCAACAAAGTGGGATCTACATTATCTTTAGACAATAAATTAACGATCAACTCTGTAGTTGATGCATCTGCAGAAAAACCCCTCTCCACCATTTATTCAATAAGCCTCACTGCCGTTGATGTCTCGTTGTTATTTATAAACCCTTGGATAATTTTGTTGTACGTGCAACCATCTGAAAGACAACCTTTCTCTTCCATTTCCCTTATATTCAACTTTTTCAGCTCTGGACAAACCTTCAATAAGAATAGTGCAAGTTACAATATCAAAATCCAACTTCTTTCCCTCCATCTCTTCCAAAAATTCAACCGCCTTGGGAAATTATTGGTTTTTACGAAGGCCATACTGTAAAATAGAATAAGTTTGAATATTTGGAAGTTGGCCTAAAGCTTGCATTTGAGAGAACAAGTTACGTGCATCTTGTATTCTTCCCATCTTGCAAAACCCATCAATAAGAGTGTTATAAGTAATAGTATTTGGAACCACTCCCCTATGAGACATTTCCAGAAAAAGCATTCGGGCATCATCTATCCTTTTACGCTTACAATACCCATTTGCTAAGCATTACTTCGAAAACCATTTTTGCCTTGCCAATTTCTCCTCGCAAAAAATAACCATCTATAAGTGAATTGTACATAATTGTATCAGGTGCAATATCCCTTTGCGTCATCATTTCAACCACGCTCCTTGCTTCCTAGACCATCCCCTCTTTACAAAATGTATCAACCAAAATATTGAAGGTGCACACATTTGGAAAGATGCAACATCCCACATTGTCCAAGGGAGTGAATCATGTAAGCCTTATATGTATATTCTCATCTCTACATAGCACGAGGCTTTTTGGGAGCTCACTGGATTCGGGTTCTGTTGGAACTCTGAAGTTAAGCGAGTAGTGCGAGAGAGCAATCCTAGGATGGGTGACCCACTAGGAAGTTCTCTTGTGCGTTCCCAAAAACAAAACCGTGAGGGCGTGGTCGGGACCAAAGTGGACAATATCGTGCTACGGTGGAGTTGAGCTCGAGATGTCGTGGGGGCCCGAGCCAGAATTTGACAATTTGGTATCAGAGCCTAACCAGCAATCCCAGGATGGGTGACCCACTGGGAAGTTCTCGTGTGAATTCCCAAAAACAAAACCATGAGGGCGTGGTTGGGGCCCAAAAAGGATAATATCGTGCTACGGTGGAGTCGAGCCCGGAATGTGGTGGGGGCCTGGGCCAAGATGTGACAAAAGATATGTTTACTCACCATTTCATTCAATAATCTTGTAGCTTCTTTTCAATTCCCTACTTTGCAAAATCCATGAATCAAAGAGGTATAGGTAATGACGTTAGGAGCGATGCCCTTACTTGTCATTTCTGAGAAGAGGTTTAGTGCATCAACAACTAGAGTATCCTTGCAAAGACTGTCGATGATCGTGTCATAGACAACTACGTCAGGCCTGTAATCGCCTTCTTCCATCTTCTTAAGCAACTGGATAGCTCCAGTGTTGTTACCCTTCAAGCAATAGCCCCTTGCTAGTACGTTGAAAGTAACCACATCCGGCTTGCAAATACCTCCCTCCATCATTTTATTGAAAAGTGCAGCTGCGTCAACCTCTTTATGCTCACGAATGAAGCCATTGATTAGAGTGTTGAAGGTCGTGACAATTGGTTCAAAACCCAATCTGAAGAATTTTCCCAAGATAGAAAAGCCAAACCCCATTTTCCTCAAATGACAAAAGCAATTCATGATAATGTTTAGAGTATAAACATTAGGACGAATTCTGGACACAACCATTTGGTTATTCAAGGAGATGACTGCCGAATAATGTTTCAACTCGGCAAGTTGAGTCAAGATTTGGTTGAAAAGGACAACGGAAGGCAGAGGACGCCTTTGAAGCATTTCTTCAAAAACACACTGCGAGCATCCTCAACATTACAATGTTCACAGGCTGGTGTTGTTGGGTGTTTCTAGATTCGGGAGATTTAGAAGTTCGAGAGTGAAACAAAGCCAAGTAATTGTTGAAGAAAACAACAACAGATGAAGATTGAAGATGACGAGGCAGCATATCTCTGAGTTTGGGTCTGCTACTGCTGCCATAACCAACCTTCAAAGAAAGAGAAGAAGAAGCAACAGCAGCTGTTGTTGCCCGCATCATCTCCAGTGAGTCAGCGAATCAGTGCGCAAATCTTCTTTCCGAAAAACTTTTGCTGAGGATGACTTATGGAGGGAAGAATCTGCTTCAACCTGTTAGCATGATTTTACTATTTTTGGTGAAACCTGACTCATTCACTATTCTAAAAGGCTTAAAAAAAACCAATTAGTATTATGATCTAATGATATTCTTTTTACTTGTAAATGACAAATTTTAGATTCGATACTCGCTTTTAACCATATTATTATTAGCTCAGGTTAAGTCCATCATCTTCCTTAATGTAAATAATATCATTTGTTCATAAAAGAAAAAGTAAAAAAAAAAAAAAACTTAATAAAAACTAACTTATGCCCACATAATGTGTGTAGAATGGAAGGAAGGGAGACATGGGAGAGCAGAGAGAAGAAAGGCTTTTTTATTTTTTATTTTTTATTTTTTATTTTTAATATTACATTACGTTTGGCTGAAGAAAATAAATTTGAAATTTAGATAAAAATTAAAATTTATAAATTGACATGCACTAATTTTCTTGTTGGGATTTATAAACATAGAAATTTAGAATTTTCGCGTGGAAGAAAAACTTAGAATTTGGGTAAAGGTTATAATTTAAAATTTGAAATGCACTAATTCCCTCGTTTGGATTCATAAACATAGAAATTTAGAATTTTCGCCTAGAAGAAAAACTTGGAATTTGGGACCTCCAATTCCCAAGTTTAAATTCCATATAAATAAGTGTCATTTTCCAATTTCCATGATTGAGAGTTTAAAAATAACAAATTCCATATCCAATTTCCTTGTTCTTTTAGGTTAACCAAACAAGAAAATTTACAAATTTAGAAAATAAAATCCTATCATTTCTTTATTCAAACATAATGTTAACGATATGTTAGAATCTGTGGGTGAAACTTCAAAAAACAAAATTGTTATTCTTACCACATATTTGTACTATCTCTTTAACAGAGGAGAAATACTTGTGTGGGACTCGGCTTATCACTAGACTTCGCTAAATGGCACTACAACCCACTCAAAACTCGCCACGTGGCAAATTTTAAATATAATCTTTTTCCATTCTTTTATATTTAAAATTTTCATAATTATGTTTTCTACTAATTCTAATGTTTCCTCTTTTTTTTTCTTCTTTCCCCCTATTTTTTTTTCTTCCCAAATTTCCCTCTAGTTTGTTTTGCCGTAGGTCTTTAGTACTCTCTCTCCCACTCCTTTCTCTTCCAGTTTTGTTTCTTGCTTTCCTTAAAAATTAAAAAATTAAAAAAAAAATCAACACCATGGAAAGCAACCAAGAATCTATAAGTTTCTTTTCATTCTTTATACAATAGTTGCTTTGATCATGTGAACTTGACATGAATAACCCACATATATAGGCGTATTAGGGTTTTTTTTTTCTTCTTAATTATATTTGATAGAGATGTACTTTCTTGAAAATAGAAAGCTACTATGATCCAAATAAAATGAAAGATAAAAAATAGGTTATGAAAAAATTAATTCGATAATCTGGAGTGTGCACTTTGGTATTTATAGAGAGGAGAGAAACAATGGGGGAAAAGAAATGTTTGTCTTTGGAGAGAGGAGGAGGAAAGAAAGCAAAGAAATTTTTTGAATAAAAAAGTGCAGAATTTCATAAAAAGCAAGAACCATAACTGGGAGAGATGGTGAAGAGAATGACAAAAAAAAAGTGAAGGGAAGTTTGGGAAGAAATAAAAAGAGGGGGAAAGTAGATAAAAAAGGAGAAAGAAGAAAAAAAATGGAAACATTAGATTGATATATATAATATATTAATTGGTGAAAAATAATTATGAGAATTTTAAATATAAAAAAAATGATAAGAGATTATATTTCAGAATTGCCACGTGGAGAGTTTTGAGTGGATTGTAGTGCTACTCAGCGAAGTCCAGCGGCAAGTCAAGCCTCACATAAGTTTTTCTCCTAACAGAGATATGACCCACATGCGTTGGCTGCCCCACCGCTATTGGAGAAATGATTCAAATGTGCAAATAGGTGGTAAGTGTAACATTACCTTTTAAAATTTGTGTGAAATTATATTGCAGCCCATATCTTTTATTTCTATTTAGTTTTGATTAGTAGGTTAGAATGTTAATTTTATAAAATTTTAGTTGATAGTCAGAGTTCTATTGATATGCAGTTTAACTAATTAGACATTAAAGCCCTTCAAACAAAAAATTAAACTCATGAAATTGAAAAACATTGTATAACCACTTAGTACTACGGTTTAGCAGTATTTCTCTTCACTTGTAAGTGAGAAGTCTTAGGTTCGATTCTCGTCAATAGCATACTTGAATCACATTATTGCTAGCACATTGTGAGGCTTAGCTCACTCCCCACCAGTTAAGTGTACATAATATCGTTTATTCGAAAAACAAAAAAAAAAGAAAATAAGTTTTATAATGTAAGAGTTGTAAAAAAAAGAAAGGGTAAATTACATTGTACCCCCTCAGGTTTCAATGCAATTACAACCTCATACAACATCTTTAAAACATTTTAATCTCATATAGTTAGTATTATTATTATTTTTTTCAATTTCATACAACCGTTAAAAAATCTGTTAAGTTAACCGTTAAGTGATGATATGGCAAATATGGGTCCTCATTTGTGCTGATATAGCTTTCACATTTGTGTCACATGGCTAAACACTTAATAAAAGATTTAAAATATTAAAATAATTAATTAAAGAAAAGTAAAAAAATAAAAAAACCCCTAAATCCCCTTTGTTTTCCCCGCCTGAGCCCATCCTCTTCTCCCACTCCCAGCACCCACCCCTTTCTCCATCCCCATCCCCATCACCCACCCCATATTTGCCTGAGCATAGTCCTAGTCTCCGCCATCTACACTTCGATCAAGCCATTCCCTTCCATGCCCGGCCCCTCCATTGCCGCTTCGTTCTCAACCCCTTCTCCACCGTCTATTACACCGCCAAGATCTGGATCTGCCCTTTCTGCTTCACCCGTAACCACTTTCCTCCCCACTACACCTCCATCTCCAACGAGAACCTCCCCGTTGAGCTTTTCCCCTAGTACACCACCATTGAGTATGACTCGTCCATTGAAAAACCCACCTCGCATTCGATCTTTATTTTCGTCATCGACATCTGCATGATCAAGAAGTTCTCGTTTCTCAAGTCTACTCTGTCTTAGGCTCTCGGCCTCCATCCCCTATATTTGGAGAGGAAGGAGTAGGCGAATGGGGGGGGGGGGGAAGGGGTGATGGGGGATTTTTGGGATCAGGGGATTTTTGGATCGAGTTGCTTAGAAGAAGAAGAAGAAAGTGGATTAAACCCCAACGACCCACATCTGCAAGAAGAAGAAGAAGAAGAGGGGGGAAGAAAGAAAGAAAAAAACCCCAAAATCCCACTCGAGCCACCCCTCCCAAAAATCCCCCATCACCCACCCCCGAAAATCCCATCTACCATAAAACCAATTCAAAAATCATCTCAAACTCAAAATATTAGTATTTTCAAAACTCACCTAAACTGAAAATCACCAAATTACGGAGGGAGGAGGGTCGCGTAGAGAGAAAGGGGGACGGGAGGAGGGTCGTGGCCGGGGGGGGGGGGGGGGGGGGCGGAAGGGTGGAACAGGGGGAGGGTCGCGCGAGGAGGGCACTGAAGGAGGGTCCTGACGGGGGGCGGTTGGTTTTTTTTTTCCTTTTCTTCCTCATTCCTCTTCCTCTTCTTCTTCCTACTGCAGATGCAGGTCGCTCAATTTTTTTCCCCTTCTTCCTCTCTCTTCTTCTTCTTCTTGCAGATGTGGGTCACTGGGGAGGGGGGAAGGATAGTTTCAATTTTCTTTTTTTTTTCCTTCCTCCCTCCTTCTTCTTCTTGCAGATGTAGGTCACATAGTTTCAATTTTATTATTTTGTAAAAATTCAGGTTTTTTTATAAAAATTTAAAAATTATTATTTTTGCCGCGTGGCAGACAATTGGCAACCACGTCAACATTTAACAGATCAATGGATGGAAAATGTAACGGAGGTATTATTTTGAAATAAAATAGTACTTAAGGTATGAAAATGAAATGTTTTAAAGATATTGTAAAGAATTGAAATAGAGCTCAAACTTGAGGTATGAAAGTGTAATTTACCCTAAAAAAAAGGGTAAATTACATTTTACCCCTCAAGTTTGATGTTAATTTCAATTCCTTACAACATCTTTAAAACATTTCAATTTCATACATTTACTTATCATTTTATTTCAATTTCATACATTTGTTAGAAAGTGATGACATGGCAAATATGATATCCATATTTGTGCTGACGTGGCTACCAAATATATACCACGTGGTAAAAATTAATAATTTTTTAAGCATTTAAAATATAATAATAATTTATCCTATTATTTAAAAAAAAAAAATCCTAAACATCTTCCTCGACCCCTTCCCCTTCCTCTCCCCTGCAACCCATCTTCCCCCTTTTCATTGCAACTGAGCTCAGCTCACACAATATTGCTCCAAATCACCCTCCATTAAATCATCCCAATCCACCACCAAACAATCCAACCTCCGCCACAATGCATGCTAAGACCGACTTTGAGGTGACC